ATTCACATAGTTTACCAGTTTGAGACCATTTTTAACTAATTTAATGACCATAGCAAAATAATATAAGTACACTCTCTCAAAGATCAATACTATGTAGTTTCCATAGAACTATTAAATGGATTTTAAGTCTTTTTAACAACACAAATGCTCAGCATAACAACTGAACTAAATTAGTATAAATATGAAATGGAAATAGAAGCAAAACACAACCCCAACAATCTTGAATCTCTTTATTTTTGAGCTGTTGTACAGCTGTGGCAATTTGTGATGAAAATGAAAAGGAATTTTTTTGAAAAATTAATTATTTCAGACAATTTTGACAAACAACAATAAATAAATCAACCAAATACACTCAAAAAGAAACTGGTTAACATCAAACCATTCAAACAGTTTGTTTGTCAAAAAGTATGTTTTTACAGACAATAACACTGGAGGTGAAAAGTTTTGGCATCAAATGCGACAGTTTTTTTGAGGGGTTCATCACACACATGTGGCTGAAATCTTAACTGCTCCCATACTGCTGCTGTAGCGTGTGGCGCCCAAACCAATTGCATCTCTTGTCTTGATCAAGATTACCTAGTCACTGATTTGCTACTCCTCACAGGGCTCTCATGTAACATGATGTGTCAGGCAAATATGTCATGCATGAGTTAATTAATCCCTACACCAACGAAACTAGAAAGAAGGGTTGAGTGGAGACCGATGCAATTAAGTGGAACATTTTGTCATTCTGTCTTTTGAGAAAAGAAAGGAAACCAGTAAGCGTGCAAACAGGAATTATTGAGTTGATTTTAATTTATCATGCAAAAATGTAATTGTGTGATTAATTGTTTTCTGTTTATTGTAACAGACCTAACATTATGTAAGGTTAAGGATAAAAAATTTAGTCCATATTCAGCCCAAGATTTTCAACCAGGAGATTAATCCGAATGGTTCAATGTAGAATTGATCAACTGTCACAGTCGTAAATGATCAGAGATTTTCTCATATTTTTGGATTTCCTCAAAATATATATTTTTTTTCCTTTAGTGAAGCAGAATGTGGCAGAAATATGGAATACCTGGATTATTTCTGATATCCCTTGGTATAAGATTTTAGTTATATTTAAATATTAACAAAAATATTCTCAACTTACCTTCCATTACCTTACCTTCCATTCTCTTTTACACTTGTTTTATTGTTTATTTATTCTTATTTAAAAAATGCTGATATTCCACTTCTCTTAGTCATTAGGCAAGAAGGTTGTTGTAGGTAAGTATTATGGCATGTCAGCTGATAATGATTGTGATTTTTCTGTGTACCATAGAAAGATGTGGTCCACATACATGCAACTTGCAATTTCCTGGATGACAAAGCAAGTTACAGTACAGTAGGGCTGAAAATCCCCAAGGATTTGAAGTGTAGCTGCATCAGTGCTAGATTTCAGTTATTGTTTTATATGAAATCTTTTGCATAAGGGTGCAGACCTAAAAGATTTAAAAAGCAATTTAGCACCAATACTCTTTGATTGAACTTTTGTTTTGCAAAACTTCAAATTTTTTCCTTGTGCATCATGGCATAAGAGCTCAAGTATTTCCCAGATGGTACACAACATCTCATCAGCTGCCACTTCACATGACAGAAGAGTATTTTTAATCTAATCCCTCTCTGGGTAAAATATAGACCGTCAGTCTTTTGTTCAGTCTTTGGCTCCCTTTCTGTCTGGTGCTCTCTTTTGAGTTTGTACAGATGTTTGGTAATCTCAGAACACAGAAGGGGAATGATATGCTTGTCAGAGGCTGAATCAAGGGCTCAAAAAGCTGCAAGATGCCATACGCTCACTACCCGTATATCTTTTTAAGTCTGCCTTAACTCAGATCTTGGAGAGAATGTTTATTTGTCATGAATCGTACTTATCTTGAAATGATTTGACAACTGAAATGCATTTGACAGATTCAAACTTCCTCATAGAATTTTTAAACATTTTGTTCTGAAACATCCACTGAGGCCTATTTGTTTTTTTTCACAGCAACACTTCAAACACATAAAAAGCTTCTGCAATAAAACATTATTTTTTTTATCATAAAAGCAAAGTTTTCATTAAATTCTTTTTGAATTGTGCTATATCACAAACAGCAACTGAAATCTATTCTCTTGAGTTTGTTTCTGATCCGCCTATGCATTACTTGTGCTTCCATAACTCAGACTGATGTCAGCTTGTCACTTTTTGTCCATATGTGCAGTCATACTGTCGCTGATAAACTGGCTCTCTGTTTGTACCACCAGCTGCAAACATTTAGTTTATTATATTTTCAGTTTGTTCTGAA